GTGTTATACCCCGGTACAGAGCAGAGTCTTCAAAGTGCCACTATTTCATGATTTTCCGGTTGAACATTCGTCAACAATCTTTTTTAGCTTGATAAGTCACCATTTGGTACCGCACCAATTAATAACAAATTATAATTCTTTTCTAGGATCCCTCCATATTTACGGTCCTAACTTGCCAATCCGAAAAGAAAGGTACAGCCATTGCGGACTTCGTAATTTTCCCACCGAGATGGTCTGTTCAAGAAAATACCTTCAGACCGCCGTATTATCACAGGAACTGCATGTCAGAGTTCATGGGACTCATTCTTGGAGAATATGAAGCCAAACGGGGAGGTCTGGCACCTGGCGGTGCTACTTTGCACAGCATCATGACACCTCACGGTCCTGACAGAAATTGCTTTGAAAACGCTTCCAACGAACATTTAAAACCTACGAGAGTTGCAGAGGGGACTCAGGTTGGTATTACAGAGTTGGTTTTATTTTGGTGAAGACCAAAAAAAAAAAAATTATATATGTATAAATAAGAGAAAACTAAACTTTTTGAAGACAAATCGGCAAATGTTATTAATATGCTAGACTTTAACGTTACTGATCACCTCAGTTATAGTGTATTTTTATGTATGCGAGAGTAATAAAACAATAAATTATGTATGCAAATCCCTAAACTGTTGATACGGGTGATTCAATGAAAAACAGATATTTGTCAACAAGTTTACAGAAGTATATAGGAAAACAATTTTAAATTGAGTATGACCACCAGTTATAAAGGTTGGAGCAGAATAGAATACAATAGTTGTGAGGGTTTACTAATCCCTAAATAAGGTTGCCAGTGTCGGAGTGATGGAGGTTAACAGGTACTAATGAATTTGCAAGAAATGTAAGATGTTTATTTTATTGGTTATATATAACCAATAAAAGTTTAATAAGTACCTACCTATTTGCAAAATAAAGTTTAATTCTTTAGATAAAATAAAACGTTTTTATTTTATCTGAAATAAGTGCATTCCACGAAGTAAGGGTTTCAACAATCAAACATTTAATTCTTTAATTCCAGGAATCTACGACAGTAATTGACTAGATAATTACCTTCTAAACTTATTCCACAGAAAATGTGATAGTGGGTTTTTTCATTTTGTAGGAAGGTCCAAGTGGCGTATTCAAAATTCTTAACAGTTCACTAAAAGTGGGTACTTCAGTAGCAAGGTGCAGTTTATTGTGTTATACTAGTGTTATGGAAAATTTGGAAGTGCCGTGTAAACGCCGAAAAATTGGTTCTTTAACAGTTAATGAAAAAACATTAATATTTAATTGTTTTAAATCATTTACAGACAAACGTTTATGTAAAAGTGTTGATGAGACCGTGTGAGTTAGTTAGCAGTACACTTGGTGTTGGGAAATCTACGATTTACAGAGTTATTAAAGAAGAGAAATGTGGTAGTTTTCAAATGCCACGTAATGCTCTAGGGAAACCAAAATTTCAAATAGAATATCATTTTAAAGAAGGACTTCGACTTAAGGAAAGTGCATGAATTCTTCTTTAGACAAGAATTTCCAACATTGGATAAAGTTCTTGTCTCAGTTCGAGATGATAAGGATTACCCAGAAATGAGTCGAAGTACGTTATGGAAACTTTTAAAAGAAATAGGCTTCCGCTGGAAAAAGAATCCCAGAAAGTCTATTTTATTAGAAAGAAGCCATATTGTCATATGGAGAAGACATTTTCTAAGAACCATAAAGGAAATGAGAAACCAAAAAAGAAAAATATTTTATCTTGATGAAACATGGATCAACGAGGGTCATACACCAAATAAATTTTGGCAGGATGAAACTGTTACAAGTCAGAGGCACGCTTTTGTAAATAACTTATCTACTGGTTTAAACCCACCATCAGGAAAGGGACGCAGGCTGATAATAGTACACATTGGCAGTTCAGACGGTTTTGTTGAAGGTGGTTTATTAACTTTTGAATCAACTCGTACCGGTGACTACCATGAAGACATGAACGCTGATGTCCTTCAAGAATGGTTCGAACAAATGATAGATCTTCTTCCTAAGAACTGTGTAATAGTAATGGATAATGCAAGTTATTACTCCAGACTTATAGAAGGACTGCCCACAACCAAGTGGTTAAAAAAAGACTTGCAGAATTGGCTGAGTTCAAAAAATATTACGTACCATCCCGGATCTATATTCGTTGTGTGCCCTTCATAAAGAAAAATTTAAAAAATACGAAATTGATGAAATTGCCAAGAATCGTGGAATGACAGTACTTAGATCCCCACCATATCATTGTGAATTAAACCCGATTGAACTGGTATGGGCACAGATAAAGAGTGAAGTTTCAAGAAAAAATACCACTTTTAAAATTCATGATGTTAAACAGTTGTTTTTGGAGGCCGTAAATAATGTAAAACCTGAAAACTGGGAAAAGGCAGTAAATTACACTATTAAAGAAGAGGAAAAAAATGTGGAAGCTGGACAATATTACTGATAAAATGATCGAGCCAGTTATTATAAATCTTGGTTCTGAAAGTTCATCTTCTGAATCTGATTTGGATTTGTAACAGGTAGCTGTAAGTTTTATATTAATATTTTTATTCATCTATTTAACATACCTTAGACGGTTTTAAAAACTCTTTTTCTCTTTTGTAATTTTTAAAAATTAAAAAAAATGTGAATTTTTTAAAAACCTTTTTAATGTAGGCCAGTCAGTTCTAATATAGTGTGTGATAAAAGAGGTCACATTTGTTTACATACACATAACACTTTATAACACTGAAGTAATTCATTTATTTTTTACAATTATTCAAAGTAATTTTTCAATTAATCTTGAGCACGCCCATGGAGTGGTCGAAGCTACCAGTTAAAAATTATGCTAATTACTCTCTCGTTCATAAAAATAAACTATAAGTTACAATCAAACCATTATCTTAGATATCTCATCTTATTGTAGATTTTCCTCTCCTTGATATACTTGCACAATATATATCCTCTTATTTTTATTTTAAGAAAATATCTTGTTTTTTCAAACATATAGCCTAAATTGGTATTCCGACGTCCAGTTTTCATACCAGCGTTTGGAGGGTCTTCCGGGTGGTCTGCTAGTGTCCGATTTATCTTCCATTACAATCTCACGCAGGTTTTTTAATGTTTTGTTTTGCCTTCGATGTTCATATGTCTGTTTCTCCCTAAGAAATTCTGGATTCTCTTGATATTGTCATCGACCAAGACATCTTGGTGGAAGATGCTCTATATTTTGTTGTTCTCTACCATTCGCATAGGTTACGAATAGTTGTTTCCACAGTTATAACTTTATTTAGTGAGTCGTTATTGGGACTGCTCCAGTTCTAATACGGTTTAATAGTCTTTAGACCTTCCAGTCGAGGCTACTATCGGACGGCCTCTCTTCTTGGGATGGTGCGTAATTTTCTGGTGGGTCGACTGACAAACAAAGCAGAAAGCTTTTATGGGAGGTTTGTTTAAATTTCTCTTCATATTCAGCAGCTGCTCTGCGTTCTTTGGCTAATGAGAAACCTTTCTCCTAATACAGGTGGTGAAGTGGGGCAAGTTTTATATATCTGATTACTATTCTACATGTCTGATTCAAGCCTACATCAATTTGTTTTGCATGCACTGATCAATTCCAGACTGGGCAGGCATAACCTCTTGTTGAAAAACATATTGCCGGTGCTGTTATTCTCATTGTGTCTGAGCTGGCGACCCAACTACTTCCAACCATATAGAAAAGACAGTTAAACTCGTTTGTTTTGAGTATAAGAAACAAATTCACGAAAGCTTTTTACCTAGGTGAACCGATATGCCATGAATTGCAATGTTAGATTCCCCATTTCGGTCCATTTATCATCTATTTTACCTTGAAAATTGTAGAAGGCACAGATTTAAGTAATAATTTGAATTTGGTTTCGAACATTTGGAAATCTTTGGTTTGTTAAGTTTTTGGTTTTACTTCTAACCAGTTTTCTAAGTTGGGTGTTCCTGATGGTGACTTTTATGTTATGTCTTGTGTTATAACATTTATATGTTAAAGATCTGTTCAACGAAACATCGAGGTATTTAGATTTTTCTGTATTCTTTACAGCCTTTCCTTCCTATGTAATTTGTAGTTACATACATAGTTTATATTTAACCATATTGTTTTGAGCAGCTTCGAGATTTCCCTGGATATTATACCATCGGCATATAAAAAGTATCTTGCGTTCTATGGGTCTCATCGCTCACCTTGTTGCATATGGTCGTTTACCTTCACCTCCTGGTTCAGTTGAATTTTTCACAGGTGCGGACACAAGTTTCGACACAAAATTCGTCAAGTTGTGGTATATGAAAGACCGAGTTCTAGTGAGCAACGTGCAATCGACTGTTACGGATTCTCCTCCATATAGAGCGGTTCATGTTTGCGTGTGGGGTTCGTCTAGGAGCAAATAAGTTGCAGTTTTTATTTCAGATGGAAACAAAATTAGCTAGTGCTGATGTTATTATTATAAACGGCATTATTGGGTTACATCAGTATTTAAAAATAGAGAAGTTTATAGTGGAAATAATATTCTTAATGATTTAGTTACTGGAGAGCTTCAAAAATTTTATCGCATGTCGTCTGGTTTGTCTGTGGATGCTTTAATTAGTTTTTCAACTTCATGATTGAACTTCGTTTATTGAACTTCATCGCAGAAATAGGAGTGAAAGACAATAATCAGTAGAAATGGTCTTTGCTTGGAACACCGTTATTACGACAATCTTTATTTCTCTGTACTAAATTAGCTATGAGGTAGCGTTTCTTTATTAAATTTTTCTTTTTTTTTTCCAGGCTTTTATGTTTGAAAGTTGCTTCGGATTAGCCCTCACGAAATGGGGAGCTAAAACATGCGAGAAGATCAACCCTGACTATTACAAATGCTGGCAGAGTCTTCAAAAGCACTTTACAGGTCCCAAAAACTAAAATGCAATTAAATCTTACTGATTTAACTGATTTATAAAACACTTTTAACAAATATCTCTTTTATTTGTAACAAAAATATTTTGTACAATTAAAATCGTTTTAAGTAAAAAAGGAATGTTTTTTATTTGTCCTTTATCATATTTAAACTAACATAGTAATATATGATCAGGATATCACTGAGGCACCAGCACTTGGTTTACACACGTAGAAGGTGGCGTTGCCTTGGTATTTCTTCTGTATGTTTTCTATAACTTTCTCAATAGCATGGGAGTAAACCTAAAAATAAAAACATAATTTCACAACAATAAAGAAATCTTTTTGCAAACAAAACGAAGCAGCATGTCCACTTTTATATTACGAAATTAAAAAAAAAACTCATTTAATACCCATATTACAAACTCATTAAAGTCCTTCGTTCAAAAATAACGATTTTTTCCCAAAAGTATGTTCTGCAAACAGAAACTGAAGCAACTAAAGAAGCACAGCCATGGATAACGACAAAAGGACTTGCATGCAATGCAATAGTCTTGCTAAAGAAGGAGCTAATATTCATTTTATCGGTCCAAAACCATTATGGGGTCCATCAAAACGTTTCATAGTAAAAAATGTACGAAAATGGGCAAAGGAATTAGCAGTACAACCAACTGGAAAAATATTCCAGACCAAAGTCGATCTAACAGATTATTACAAGCTTCTACCCGATACGAAAATCCCTCTTAGATCTTCGGAAAATTCTACTCAGACTAATTGGAAATAAAGTCCGTCTAAAACAGCTCAAGTATGAACTGAATCTGAGTTCAACAAAAATAATGTAATAAGGTAGATAAAATGAAGAAGTAACATCGAAAACATGGAGATTCTCAGTTCATCTGATTCTCAGTGCTCTGTACCAGGGATTTAAAACTGGAACTAAGAGTTAGGTTGACGAGGTGCTATGTTTTTTCGACTTTATTTTATGGAATGGAATCTTGGACTTTGAATGCAACATCAATGAAAAAACTGGAATCATTCGAGTTGTGGGTGCATAGAAGAATTCTGAAACTATCGTGGACAGAACACGTCACAAACAAAGAGGTTCTGAGAAGGATGAATAAAGAAATGGAAATTTTAAATACAATTAAAACAAGAAAATTAGAATATCTCGGACATATTACACGTGGAGAGAAATACACCTTGCTCCAACTGATTATATACAGGGAAAGATTCAAGGGAAGAGAAGCCCATGACCTCCGCCGCGGAGATGGTACTTGAAGAAGAAGAAGAATTAAGTGATAGATGAATAGCAATTGTTAAATATATTCTGTTTCAATATAAAAATGTAAATTAAATATCTATTCATTCTTACCAAAGTGACGGTGCATCCACCAAATCCTCCTCCTGTCATTCTACTTCCTATAACTCCGTCGACCTCTAGGGCTAGCTCTACAAGACTGTCTAATTCTGGGCAAGACACTTGGTAGTCGTCTCTAAGCGAGATGTGACTTTGATTCATCAGTTCGCCGAATTTTAGGAAATTTTTCTGTTTTAACATCTCAGCAGCATCGGATGTTCTTTTAATTTCTGTAATTACATGCCTCGCCCTCGCAACGATTTCTTTGTTTGTATTTATTGATTCTAAATCTGAAATTTATTTATTTTTTTGGATTAAGTGAAGAAGAGTTGTTTTGTAAGGTATTTAAATATCACATGGCTTATTTCGGTAAATTAAATCTGATAAGCATTTTAATCCTACAATTAATTTATAGAATACAGTCAATTTTCTAAGTTTTTGGTTATGTTTGGTTATGTTAAGTTAGGTTATGTAGATTAAGCGCATGTAATACCTAGACCCGTTTCCCAAGTGCGATAGACAAAAATAATGCAAAGCAGTCCCTGTATCTCTTTTTAGTGGGAAGGATTTATTTCCTGTATAAAACTGTAACTAAACTATAAAACCATTACTAAACCCCGATGAAGAACAATATCTTCAAATACAGGAGCCACTAGAAGTAACAATAAACCGGAATATCAATGGTCAAATACCATCAAAAGGAAAAACGATTGACATAATAAGAGTTTGAAAAATAATAAAGCACCCGGAGAAAATAGCATTATAGCAGAGTTCCTAAAGAAAGGTGGCCAAAGCCTACAGGAAGCAATCACAGAGTTGATACGTGAAGTTTGGACCAAAGGGCAAATACTAAAACAGTAGATAGAAGCCCTGCTATGCCCGATACATAAAAAGGAAATGTTACGGAATGTAAAACTACAGGAGATAGCATTACAAGACACAACGTAATAAAGTTTTAGCTACATCGATCAGAAATATACAACCCCATAGAACAGGTGATGCAATTCAGATATCTGGGCATAGATATATCAAGCACCCACGACCCAGTAAAGGACCTGAGGAGTCAAATCAACAAAGCATCTGCACTGTCAGGATGTCTGCGGGAGATAGTCTGGTCAAATCCGTATATGCGCACAGATAGTAAAATTAGAATCTATAAGACTTGCATACGACCGATCATGACATATGGCATAGAAGTGCGCGAAGATACCAACAAAACGAAACAGATGCTAAGGGTTGCCGAAATGAAAACCCTAAGAACAATAATGGGGAAAACAAGAAGAGACAGAGTGAGAAATACAAACATTAGAGAGCAGTGCAAAATTCAAGATATTGTAAGATGGGGAAGGCAGCGCAAGAGGATGTGGTACAACCATGTAAGACGAATGGATGAGAATAGACTCCCAAAAATTGCCCTAGAAAACAATCCGCCCGGTTCAAGACCCCCCAGAAGACCACCTAAAAGATGGAGGGATAGTTGGCAATCTACCTCCCAAGAAATTAACCAGAGGCAGCTTCAGAATTAAACAGATCGAAAGATCTACAAAAAGTAGAAGAAGAAGAAGAAGATCAGAAATATAATGAATGCCAACATTGAAGAAAACCTGGATGAATATTAACCTGGTTTTAGAGCAAATTCTTCTTCTTTAAGTTCCACCTTCTATCGAAGGTTGGAAATCATCATGGCTATGCGACTCTGTTGACTGCCGCTCTAAAAAGTTCTGCACTACTGCATTCAAACCATTTCCTTAAGTTCTTAAGCCAGGATATTCTTCGTCTTCCCACATTTCGCTTTCCTCGGATTTTGCCCTGCATAATAAGTTGTAATAATGCGTATTTTTTGCCCTCTCATCACATGTCCCAAGTACTCAAGTTTTCGTCTTTTAATAGTTAATATTATTTCCGCCTCATTTCCTATCCTTCTAGTTACTTCCATGTTTGACATTCTTTGAATCCATGATATTCGTAGGATTCTTCTGTAACACCAAAATTCAAAGGCGGCCAGCTTATTCAGATGAACTTGTTTTAGTGTCCAAGCTTCCAGACCATAAAGAAGAGTAGAGAACACGTAACATCGAAGCATTCTCAAGCGTAGTTCTAACCTTATATCCCGACAACAAAGAAACTTTTTAAGTTTAATAAATGATGTACGTACTATTTCAATACGTGTCTTAATTTCTTTGGTTTGGTCTACATCTGATGTTATCCATGTTCCTAAATATTTATAGTTATTAACATTCTCAATTGCAGTATCTTCAATAATCAATTGGATATTTGCATGTGCAGATTTAGTCATAATCATGCATTTAGTTTTCTTTAAATTTATCTTCAGTCCGTACTCATGACTGCGTAGCTGTTGATCTATTAGAGCAAATAGATCTGTAATATACCAATTTTTTACAAGTAAACATATCCTGGTTAGTTCACATGAATTCAATTTGATACTAAACATATTGTCTAGTGTGATAAGAAATAAAGTCCAGAAGACTCCAATGGGCAGGACAAATCAGAAGACATTCTGACGAACGAACATTAAGACTGGTGTGGGAGGAAGTAAACACTGGAAGGAGACCACACGGACGCCCTCGTCTCCGGTGGTGAGATAATGTAGCAGAAGACCTATGAGCGAAGATGCAGGTGTGTTTGTCCTTACACCTTGTCCTGATGGCTTTGTTTCGCGCACCAGTCATAGGTCGCTGGTTTTTTCCCTTGGGGAACAAGGTTTTTCCTTAGGGAAATAGTTTCACTTTATGTACTTATTTGAAGGACCACCCAGAAAACTGGGACAAATGAAAGACTCGAAAAGAACGTTTTAACAAGTCTATTTAAACAATTACAACGTATTTTGGACGCCGATAACTTGCGTACGATACACACTTGTCGGTGATACAATATTAACCCGAACTAAGTAAACTTATTAATATCACGACGGTGTTAAAGCTTCTTAGGTGCGGCTAGCGCGAATAGAGCCTAGAGCCCTCATCCAATGCTGGAATTTGAACTGATACTGTTGAACTTGAACTGCGAACTGATGTCCACTCTCTCCCTTCCATCACTACGCTCGTAATTGTTTCTAAATATTCAGAAATCTCCCCCCTGAGCCCCTCGACGTATTTAAAATATATGTTTACATTTCAAATACCTTCGACTTTGAATTCATTGGTAAAAACTACCTGAGAAGGGTATTTGTCTTAACTTTCGGAATTTTCGAATGAGTCAAACGGATAATTTGGAAAATACTAATCCTTTCATTGTTACGATTCTATGAAGGTTTTAGAAACTTGTGTAGAAAGTTATTTGAATGCAAGCTATCGGCGCTTTACAGATTATTAGTTAGTACAAAGAAATTTTATATATCTAAACTAATATACAGTATGATATAATAATATGATACAAAAACAAACTAAAAATATTAAATATTGTTGTTACGCAATAACCTAAGCACTATGGGCATGGAGAACTGGATGGAGGTTGCTCAAAACAGAAAACAGTGGAGGCATGTTGTCGAGTCGGCTAAAACCCATAAAGGGTTGTAACGCCACGGAGTAAATAAGTAAGTATATTGTTCATTGATTTTCGACAAGCATATGACACAATAAATAGACATAAATTGATCGAGACATAAAAATATTTTGACTTTTCAGATAAAATACAATTAACTAAATCCCTTCTGAATGAAACCAAAAGTAAAGTTATGGTAGAAGGTCATGTCTCTAACAGCTTTGATATCACTAGAAGCCTGCGACAATGTGACTCCCTGTTTACTGTATTTTTTAATCTAATACTGAAAAGAAAGAATTCTAAGGGAAAGCCATATACACACTAAAGACTCAATCGACCACCATAGACATCAATGCCTAGCATACGCGGACGACCTTGCCCTAATAACAAGAAGACTAACCGAATTTAAAAAGACTCGAGAGAACAGCCAGGAAGTATGGCCTGGAAGTAAATGAAGAGAAAACAAAGTATATGGAGATGAGAGGAAATAGTGAACATTTAGGACAGTTTTGGAAAGTATCTGCACCAGACAAGGAATAAAATTTTGAGATAGTTGAACAGTTCAATTATTTGGGAATAACGTTAACAAATAGAGATGAATGGACTCAAAAAATCGAAAAAAGAATGGCTAAAGGTAGTAAAAGTGCTGGAACTCTAAATCAGATACTGAGATCAAAGAAAATATCCAGAGGAGCAAAAGAAGAATACAACGGTTATTCGACCAACGGTGATTTATGCTAGCGACGGTAGCGAGACCTGGATCTTAAGCAAAATCATACAACTGAAATTAGATAGATGTAGCGAAAGATACTCAGAAGAATATATTAGAGGTATAAAAGATGGGCATATCTGGAGAAGAAGAACAAATAATATATGGGCAACAAAAAATTTCAAACATTCCGAAAGTTCAAAGACCAAGATGACCCGGACATATAGCTAGAATGCAAGAAGAAAGAGTCCGCAAAGCATTAATAAATATTGAAGCTGGCATAAAACGGAAAAGAGGATGAGTCAATAAAAGAAGATTTGGGATTGTTAGGAGTACAAAACTGGAGAAACCTAGCACAAGACAGAAAGAAATGAAAAAAAGCCTTGGGCCTCTAGGGCCTGTTTTCGAGATAATTAAGGCTCACTCACCCTGTAGATTGAGAATTAGGAGAAAAAGAAAATCATTATTTTAAAAGTATAAAAAAGGAACTTCATTTTTGTTTTTTTAAAAGGTTTTTAGGTGCTTTTGATTAGTGAGATTAGATTAGACTGAATTAGATTCTGCAGTGATTTTAAGTCGTGATATTTTTATACTTCAAAATCACTCTTATTTTGCTCATAAAATTTTTGAAATTTTGCAAAAAAGACATAACTCTTGTTACGGGTGGCGGCAGTATTTTTTTCTTCAGTTTTAACTACTAAAGAACAAAAAAAAAAGTTGGTCCCAAGAGTGCGCACTAAAATTTCAAAATAATGTTTTTGGCACCAAAAAAATCGATATTTTCTGTGGAATTCGACATATTCGATTCTATTCACATAGCCCATGGTTGAAACTTACTGTGTACCACACAGAGGTCTGCGTTTGAAACTTTGCTCAATTATTCGTATGGAAGTGGCCATTTTTTGTTCTTTGTAGCAAAAAAGGTGAAAACGAGCAAAAATCGAAATAATTTCGATTCGATAATAATATTTAAAAATAGTGCAAAGTAAAAATTTAAGTTTTCGAATAAGTTTTATAGCCGAATCTTTACAAAACGCGAGCTTAAGCAAACGTTCATCGAACAGATTTATATCAATCTATCCTACGTTCGTTGTTAAAACTGTGCTATGAAATAATTCCTAGTTTAAAATAGCTACAAACCAACGAGAAACACAAAGTCAATTATAGATTATGTCATCACAAAACAAGAAACACACATACAAGTTGAAGACATAAGAGTATTAAGAGGACCGGAGTGCGGAACTGACCACTATATGGTAAGATCAAAATGTTACCTACAGTATCGACCTCGGCTACTACATCAAAATGACAACCAACTAGCTCAATCAAAACCCCTGGAATCGAACCTACCTAAATACAATATTGATGCACTGCAAAACGACTCGACATCATTCTTATATAAGCTGCGACTTAGCCAAAAATTGGCAAACCTGATCTACTCCTCAGCCCAGAATACCTATAAAGAGATAATCAATAAAATCAATGAAGCAGCTTACGAAGCGCTCGGCACAATCCAAAAGAACAAAAAGAATACTCCATTGTGGTACACAACAAGAAACAAGCATATCAAAAGTGGCTGCAAACAAATGATCCAGATGATAGACGAACATATGCAAGATCAAACAGAGAAGTAAAAAATTTAGTAACTAAAGCAAAAAATATTTCCTGGGAAAGTAAATGCGAAGAACTCAAATATATAGGGTCAACAAGATCAAGAGAAGCATGGAAAACGGTAAAAAATCTGAGAACAAACAGAAAAGAAACGAGTAGAATAGATTTAATAGAAGAAAAATCTTGGATCGAACACCACTCACAACTTTTGACTGAAACAAGACCTCAATTCACGAACATCAGTACAACAACATATGAACTGGAATTCAGTGAAGACGATGAAATAACAGCACAGGAAGTCGAGAATGCAATACGAACTCTAAAAAATCGGAAGTCATGCGGACCACAAGGTATACCAAATGAATGAAACATAGCCCACAAGTATTACGGGAATTACTGGCGTATGTCTTCACCTTATTCTATAATGGACACGACTTACCACCGGAGTGGACAAAAGCACATATTAACAACATCTACAAAAAAGGAGATAGAAAGAATTGTTCAAACTACAGGGGACTAAGTGTCATAAATTCACTCTCAAGACTGTATGGAAAAATAATAAAAAATAAAATTGAAAAAGAGATGACAGATGTAGAAGAACAGAATGTCTTTCATGCAGGCAGGTCCTGCATGGACAGTATATTCTCTCTAAAGCACGTTATCGAGAAAAGATTAGCCCACAATCTTTCAACTCATATAGTCTTTATAGATCTGACAAAGGCATACGATAGTATACCACTTTCAATGCTTTGGGTAGCAATGGAAAAACAAGGAATAAGCAAAAAAAAATATACAAGCAGTACAACAGCTCTACAAAAATATGACGGCAAACATTAAAACTGGAAATAGATTAACTAGAGAAATTCCTATTAGTAAGGGCCTAAAGCAAGGCTGCTGCATAGCACCTACACTCTTCAAAATATATCTAAATGAAGCACTCTCACTGTGAAGAAGAAAGTGCTGCAATATGGGCATCCCAATCGGAGATGATAAATTGTACACGATACACTTCGCTGACGACCAAGCCATTCTAGCTGAAGACGAGAGTGATATAAGCTACATGCTTAGAAAACTGGAAGATGAGTACAACAAATGGGGCCTCACAATTAATATACAAAAAACTGAGTACTTAGTTGTAGGAGAAAAACCAGAAAGCCTACAAATCGAAATGGGAACTTTAAAACCATCAGACAATTTTAAGTACTTGGGAGTCCAAATAACATCAAAAGCAGGAAGTAGTGAAGAAATACATTCCAGGATTGGCCAAGCAAGATCAGCCACCAGACTGCTACACGGACTATTATGGAATAAAAAAATAACAAAAGAGAATAAAAGAAGAATTTATAAAACAATAATAGAAAGTATTGGACTGTACGGCGCCGAACTCTGGAAAATAAACCAAAGAAACAAATCAAAATTAAGGCCATGGAAATGAACTACTGAGACGATGTTGCCAGCTCACTAGACTTGATAGGGTAAGAAACGAAGATATTCGGAGAGAAATGGAAATCGATATAGACATAATAGACACAATCGAAGCCAAACGACTTAACTGGTATGGACACCTTCAGAGAATACCAGAAAACAGATGGCAAAAAAAAATAGAAGAATGGACTCCGCCAACTAGAAGAAAACGAGGTAGACCAAGACGATCCTGGAGAGACGATGTCGACGATGCAATGACCGCCAGAGATCTAACAACTGAAGATTGCTTCGACAGAAAACGCTGGAAATTAGGATGCGAGAAGCGGCGCCAGCTGTAGAAGACTCGCTTGTTATATATAAATAGCTATATTTATATGTTATATACTTACATTTAATATCATCCAAATTGGCATCCCTTAAGCTAACTTTTTTAAGTAAGAGAGCCGCTTCCTCGCATTGTTTTCTCCTAGTAGGATATTCACTGCCAGTAAGTTCGTGTTTTACGTTTGAATTTGTGATAAGGACTAATACATTTTGTTCTGTTAATGGGATCAAATGTGATGTTAAATGCCTAAAAAAATCTGGTAAATAGTAAATGTTATAATGAAATATTTCGACAAACATTAATAGGCCTGGCGTTTTTTGATTTAATTGAAAATGTTTGAAAGAATTGCTAAACCATACAGATTTATTATTTATTATAAGGGAAAATCTTGTTACTCATGTTACAATCAATGTAACATGCTTAATTTGTCGTTAAATTCAATTTTAATTTCTTAAATATGTTATTATTATCAAATTCTGCCCGAATTCATTTTTACAATACACTTCCTTTTATGGGAGCAGTAGACACTCCTCATTCCGCCTTGATATATATTCTGTATATGTTTTTATTTTACAGATTTACACGTATCAGTAACTGGCACAAGCCAGTTTTTGACTAGGACAGCGTTGGACAAGCACGGACAGTTTCTACTTGATTAAATCAGTTGTTTGTTGTACTCTTCACAGGTATGCCAGCGATTGAAACGATGTATTTACAAGTGTCTGTAAACTGTTGGCGCGGTATTCTAGAGGACGAGGATGAAGGCCACTGTCATGAAAATTAGACCAGGTAAGTTTTACCCTACTGATAACTCGTCGTTGCGATAGTAATCCTGCTCAGTACGAGAGGAACCGCAGGTTCCGACTTTTGATTGACACACTTACTCGAGCGGGTAATGGTGCGAAGCTACCATCCGTGGGATTATGCCTGAACGCCTCTAAGGCCGTATCCTTTCTAGTCAAAGGTGGCAACGATATTTCTTGGAGTTCCGAGAGTTGAAAGGCTCAAAACAATGTGACTTTACTAGATAATAGTAGTTCACTACGATTGTCGAACGAGCCCATATTTCCGTTAAGATTATCGGTTTACATTGGGATCGATCCTTACCAGTAAACCAGATCTTTAGACAGACGAAAATGGGCATTATAATATTTTCAATGTTGGAACTATTGTCTGTAGATTCGAGACAGCGCTGGAACGGCGCAACAAAGTGTTTAGATGATGCCACTAATCTGCCAGTGCGACTAGGCCAGTTACTGGATACGTGTAAACCTGCGTTTATTGTTTGAACTATAGCGTTTGTACGTATTACAGATCTTTAGATTCTTTTTATTGTTATTTTTTTGTTCTTATAACGAATTCTGGTTTTTCTCTTTTGGAAAGAGCGCAATTAGGTCCGGGGTAAATGCCCGTGTACGAGAATATAGCACAAAATGTTTCATATATTTGTTTATCAATTTACTTATCATAATATGAACACCATGACCATAAAGATTTGTCCTAGTTGCAATGTCGCTAGAATCAGTAAGGAAACACTTTGTAAGAGAGCTGATACAACTTTCAATTTTTAAATAAATTCTTATAAAAGTTTAACATTATAATTACCTGCAGTCTATTAATAGAGCATGGTCTTGTTTACCCATGAATGATATAAACTGATCCATAATACCACAAGGCATACCAGCGTAGTCGTGTTCTGCTTTTTGACAAGCCAAAGCCTTATCAGTGATTCTAAAAAAACAAAAAATATGTTTAATGCGGAACCTCCGATGACAACCAAACAAAGTAATTACCCTATTGCTTTGGTTCCAGTTAATTGATCTAAAAATACGTAAGTAGCTACTTCCAAGGATGCGCTGCTGGAGAGGCCGCCACCTATTGGTACATTAGTATGTACAACAGCATTAAAAGCAGGGGGAATATCGCCTACATAGTTTACAATCACTCCTAAAATGAAACAATATACTATAAACATTAAGTGCAGCAATTTAAATATTAAAATAGTAAAATTAATAAGTACATATAAGTACAGCTCTTCCAATCTGGTTCGGTCGGTCAAATGCGCAGAACAAAATAATGGTGAATTAGGTGAACTGCAAAATTCAAGTTTACTGGAAGCTATTGGATGTTATTCAAAGTAACTTTTTATTCTGACAATACATCTACAGTTAACCCTTGAAAACGATTGGATTTGCAGTTGCAATACCCTTGGATTTGCAGTTTACCTAATTCACCCTTATCGAAGAGAAGTAGGCATCTGCAATATTCTGTCACACAAAAGTTCTTAAATCTATAGATTTTGGATTTATTTTGCAATTATTTACCTTTTACGTACATCACCCATTTGGGCCCCACGGGACTTATGGCTCTGATTGGAGCACATGGACTAGGCAGATCAAATGTTGTTTTTTGGTCGCAAAATTTACTAGTTGTATATATAGTTACTTCAGATCCATCAACTTTTTTGCCTACCATTACAGTCACCAACGGAAGTGCCTGAAAAAAATAATATATTTTTTGAATATAATATCTATATTATAACGTTAATTGTAATAATAAACCAAAATAATAATAAATAATCAGTAAACAACAGCATATAAAACCGTCTATATGTGTAAATAATACCAAACTTGAGCAAGTTGATAAAATAGTTTACCTTGGACAACAATTAAATTGTAACGCAGAAAGTCACGGCAAAATTAGATTTAGAAAAGAGCAGGCTAGAGCTGCTTTTAGAAGGATGTCCAAGGTGTTATGTAACAGAGACCTAAAATTGGCATTGAGGATCCGCCTACTTCGCTGCTACGTATTATCGGTCTTACTTTAGGTCTCTTATCTCAGGTCTCAGCAAGACTACTGAGATCATAAAAAAGCATCAAGCAGAGAAAGTTGGAGTATTTCGGACATGTAATGAGAGGTCCCAAATATAGGTTGCTACAAAATATCATGCAAGGAAAAATAGCAGGCAAACGCAGTCCAGGACGAAGAAGAACCTCATGATTGAAGAACTTACGAGATTGGTATGGTGTTGATATAAGCATGCTATTTAGGGTGGCTAACTAAAACTAAAATTATAACAAATCTCGTAATGAGTGGAAATATAACTATTGACAATAATACCATACAACAGACACTTACAAATATCTGGGACACGAAATCAAAATAAGCAGAGACAATCAAACACATGAAATACAGAGGCAAATAGGTCTAACATGGGCAGCATTTGGCAAATTAAGCCATATTCTAAAAAGTTCAATTCCCATGTGTCTCAAGCGAAAGGTTTATAACCAATGTGTTTTACCTGTACAAACTTATGGAGTAGAGACTTTAACACTCACGCAAAAATCTGCGAATAAACTTAGAGTTACACAACGAGCCATGGAACGTGCAATGCTGAACGTGAGCCTTCGAGACCACATAACAAACCAACAAATCAGGCGAAGATCAGGAGTTCAAGACGTCATCGAAAGAACCACGACGCTTAAGTGGAACTGGGCAGGGCACTTAGCCAGAACACAAGATGGACGGTGGACAAGACGTATTATGGAATGGAGGCCCAGAAATTATAAAAGAAGCCGAGGACGACCACCGACTAGATGGACCGATGACATTAAACGTGTAGCGGGAAACTGGCTACAAGCGGCCCAGTGTAGAGAACACTGGAAAGAACTGAGGGAGGCCTATGTCCAGCAGTGGACGCGATTGGCTGATTGATGATGATTATTTAGGGTGGCAGTGAATAAAATTAAAATAGCTATGATTGTAACCAACGTTCTGAAAGAACATGGTACATGAAGAAGAAGAACGTAAATTGTCTGGATAATAAGTGGGGAATTGAAAGAGAAATAGAAAATCCAGGTACAAGTCAAATTGGAAATTAAAATGAATTAATGAAAAGGGCCGAATTTGGTACTAGAAGAAAGGGGAAAAAATAAACGGCACCACCTAGTCCTGTGTTGAGACAAAGAAAACTCGACAGTTGACCTATGAAGAGATGGGCTTAAGAAAGATAAAAAAAAGGTTAAGCCTCTCTTATAAAGCAAAATGCATACATAGTCAAAAAAACACACTTACCTTGTAGGTAGAGAAGGAAGAATATAGGAGAGCATTAAACACAAAAAATTGCTATAATTAACCATTTTTATTACTTAAAAGTTCAGCCAGAAAAAAGTATTATGGAATTGCAACACATTACCAAATAAACATAAATACAACAAAGCAAATATCGGCAGTAACATTTACTATCTATTAAAAAAAATACCTAGAAATTAACTGAACGAAAAGTATTACTGAACATATAAACTTTTAGGTTGTATACAAAAAAACAAAAGATCATTACGGAATACAAAAACAAACAAAAAAGTGAAAGAACATATCCTATTCAAAAAATTTTTGTACTTCACTGCACTATGTAAAATAGTTTAAATTAAATCACGTTTCATTAGTTAAAAAAAATTGCTTGTTCAAATGACTCCATAGAAAATTTCAGCTTCCATTAATTTATTTCATCAGAAAGAAAAGCGAAACAACAAAATATTATAACTTTAGTTTGTCCTTCTATCCCTCAAAACTCTTTTCGCCGGCTTATTGCAACTCAGATCTCTCGTACTATTTCATTGACTGCATACTGACACAACTACAATAGTTCCATAGGTACATTTAATCTTCAAAAATGTTTTCCAATCTTAGATGAACTAATCGTACCACTACGATTGCCCATAGGCAAGTGCAGACTTCCTACATCGTACCTCTACGATCGCCCACCGGAAAGTGCAGGACTCTGATGAAAATCTTTCGAGACTTAACACTAAGGTCATTCAGATTATTATAAACCTGTATTGGAATTAAACAGCCCACACATAGTATGTATATATGGTGGGTCAAAACATAAACAATTCTAAAGGGGTTAGACAGGTCTGCATTTTTTAGCCACTGTTATTCAATCTATACACGGAATAAATATGTCTAGAGGCACTGAAAGTAGTGATGGGCCAAATGACTCATTTAAATGTTAGAAGCTGTAAACATAATACATGCTGCAGAAAACCTATCGTTAGACGGTAGAAGATGCATATACAGATTGAACGAAATAAATTCGGAACATAGGAATATAATGTATTTCGGCTCAATTCTGTTGCAGGTGGTTGGCCAACAAAAGATTGTCAAATAATTATATTATAAAAATCCCATACTTCAGCGGACTGCTGGATTCTGAACTCATAAAAATTGAAAGCTACACATAAATCTACGATTTTATTATGCTGTCAAACCAGTTATAGTCCAGGAACTGAAGTATTTCACCTCGCAATTTTTTCGTGCTGCGTGGATCGACTTAAAATTTAAAAGAAGGTAGGTAATAGCCTAAGGATCAAAATCTAAATCGAACCAAAGTGCGCCAATGCCTAGGGGGTGGTTGCCACCCTATCTCCGGGGTGAATTTTTTTTTACGTTTTAATTACAGGTTTCGATTAAAAAAGTGATTCTAAACAAAAAATGTGCTATGCATTTTATTTATAAAATGATATTTTTCAAGTTATTCGCAATTTAAAGTAACAACTTTTAGACGAAAAAATCCACGTTTTTAATCGATTTTTCGCGAATAACTCGAAAATGGTGCATTTTATCAAAAAAATTGTAGAGAACAAATTTGTAGCTTTTAAAAAGACAAATACAATTCATTTTTTAAAATGTTTTTGCGATATAATAGGAACCGAAATACGGCCTATCAATGTTCAGCGGTTTTCTTCAAATGCCAAATTTGAAAGATTCAAAGTCAAATATCGGGAAAATGATGCATTTTTGGAAGAAAACTTTTTTTAAAGAGCATAAATAGAACTATCATAAAAAAGACTCTAGCTCAAAAATTTAGTGAGTTATGATGAAAATAAGGTCAATACCTCATTTTTTACAAAAAAATCGATGAAAACAACGCCCTAACCACCCCCATAATTAAAATCGATCTTCACCCTTCTGCAATTCCCTTTGTACATGTATTGTTAATACGTAAAAGAAGTTTGACCTATTTAAAATGCTTAGTTTTATAAAAAGTACAGCTTAAAGCGAGAAACGATTTACAATTTCATATTTTTTACCCTTCTTTTTTTAAATATGCCCGAAAATACTGAATATATGAAAAAAAATAAACATTACCAAATTGTAGCTTTTTTAATGACTGAAATTATCCTTTATTTAGATTTGTTGTACAATGAATATTTGGCGAGATATAGCCGTTTAAAGCATCGATTTACGATCAAGCACCATCTTTTTCGAGCCCTTTAAACTCACCCCATTTAAAAACCAAGGGTTCCAAAAAGATATAATTCACAGATCCTTGTAGCTCTTAAAAACCTCTACAAATCGTTTTTGAAGAAACACTCTATCGTTAAAAATTAAAGGAAATACGTTTAAAAAAACCAGTTAATTTTTTTCCGGAAAATTCCATTAGTATAGTACAGTAAATTTCGGAGCATAATAATCTACAAAACCGGTATATTAGCTAGTGGGGCGTTATACATTCGAAATTTTAAGCGTTCTTATTTTGAAATCCCATACAACAGAATAAAACATCTGCTCATATGTCTATGGCTTGACAATGAAAATATCAGAGCAACAGATTGGGGATGGTATTCCAAAGATGGTTTGTTATTACCCGTACGCATGAACAAACAACCTGCACCCGATGAACTTACAATGCAAAAAAGGATGCGGCGTTTCATGTGGGTGCAGAAAAGTTGGTTTATACTGTAACTCTACTTGTTCTGGGTGCTCAGGTGAAGGGTGCAATAACAGTCCACCAATAATTGAAGAAGATGAGGATGACATAGATCACGATGAAGATGTAATTGATGACGAATAAAATTAATATTATAATTGTTTTACCTATAAATGTAAATATTTTCAACTATTTATGTAAATGTATAAGAATATATGGTGCCTTTTTATGTTGATAAATTTTTTTGTATTTAATTCTACTTTTTTAATTTATATCTTATAAATTAGTTTATAAAAACTGCAATGTTGTAAATGGTGATTTTCAAAAGTTGAAAAGTTGCAAAATTTTGGCAAAAAAAAGTTTTCACCCATAGCACTCATAACAATTGATTTTAAAGGGTTGAAAATGTATGAATTTGTATTTTAAAGTATAAAAAAATCACTATTTACTTAATCCAAATCAAATTTCACTCATCTTAAGATTTGTAATATTATTTTACAATTTTTGAAAATTAGGGGTAGTTCTCACCCCTAAAAACAATCAGGGTTCATCGGCATGACATAAACACTAAAGCAGAGGGTGAGTTGAGCTTAATTCCAAATTTTTATGCAAATCGTTCCAAGGTGAAATCATTTTTTTAGAATTAGTAATTTTTTTACATTAATCTCTAACAAGGGTGGCTTTTTAAGGGTTGAAATATGATGAAACTCTATTCAAAAGTATAAAATAATCATTATTTAACTAATTCAAACCAAATATTACCCATATTCAGGTTTAATATGTTATTTTATAATTTTTGACAATTAGGGGTAGTTTTCACACCTAAAACCCTTCAGCGCACTTCGGGTCGATATAGATTTTGATCCTTGGGCTATCACCTACCTTCTGTTAAAATTTCAACTGGATACATGCAGGACGAAAAAATTGCGAGGTTTTAACTTTTTTCGAGCTTCAGTTCCTGAACTATTATTGTTTCCTTAGACAAACCCGTCTTACGCAAACAACTTTGTTGCGAGACAGATAGTTGAACGATATTTTATACAATGTCTATACCCAGGTATGGATTTATTTTTGTCCAAGTTTTACATTGGTCCACTATTTCAAATGCAGTTCAAACAGACATGTATTAAATTGTATGTTCCGTTTTAATTTGGTTCAATCTGTATGAACCAAATATTGAAGTTTTCATCGTTTTTATCTCACATTTTTATAACATTAGTAATAACACTACTAGCCAGTACCGACGAAGTTTACACACGAGTATTATACATGTTCTGTTTTTGTTATTTTGTACATTTTTTATAAAAGATTATTTTTAAATATCTCCTCCAACATTTATATTTTGTAAATATTCGGGCAAAATAACGTTACCATTTTTTGACTGAAGTAGACTCTATATCTACAATGTCTCCTATACATCGATTAATAATTTACCAACTAAACTTATTTTTTGAACGCATCATAATATTATTGCAGATAGTTTATAAATAACCTTATCACGTTAGTTTCTCGGCGACCCGTAAATTTTTAGTTTATTTTTGTGTCTATGTTTATCCACTCTCGTGATATTCGAAATTTTAGAGTGATAGAAGTGCAATCTTATCTACATTATATCATACAACTTTCAAGGCTTACGAATTACTATAATATAGTTGTATGGGTTGAGAATAAATACGATTTGTTCCAAAATTAAAGAGACTAGATTTAAAACTTGATATACACCCAAAAAAGTTATTAAGAATGTTCTCTAGCTTCTTTAGTTCAAATTTTTAACCTAAATATTATATTTTTAGTAGAGAGCGGAGAGCAATCTCAGCATATCGTCACTGTTGCTATCAAAACATAACCTTATGACAACTCACTCGTATGTATTACTGAATTTATTTTGAAATATAGAACTTAGTGCACTTCTTATGGTGCTCTATTCAATTAGTGGATGTTGGCGACAATTCTGGCATACTCCTCTCTTGTGTGGCTCTAAAGAGTGCATGGGCATCGAGGTTTATCCAATCCCTTATGTTTTTAGTGCACGAAACATCACATTTTTATATTTTTTTTACGCACAACAGGCCGTTATGGCCTAGGGCATTTTTTTTTAAATATAATCCTAATATTAACTAACTACAATTATTTTAAACAAAACTTTAACTTAAATATGTATATACAACATTCTTAACTACTCTGAAGGACCTGGTGGACAATATTTCTTCATTCGCTTCTATTTTGTGCTTTTCTTTTCCAGTCCCTCACCTTCACGTGTTTAAGGTCTTCCTCCTCTTTACTAATCCACCTCTTTCTGGGTCTAACTCTTCTTTTGGGGCCGATTAGTTTTCTGGTTATTGCTAGTTTGGGCATTCTGTTTGCATCCATTCTTTCCACATGTCCCAACTATCTGATTCTTCGTGACTTGACGAACTTGGTAATGGTAGGTTCTTTGTATAAAGCCATTAATTCTTTGTTGGTTCTTCTCTCCCAACCATCTTCTGTCTTCCGTCCTCCGAATATGCGTCTCAGTATTTTCCTTTACCATCTTTCCAGAGTATCCTCTTCCTTCTTATTTAATATCCATGTCTCACCGGCATATGTTACTGTGGGTCGAATTACTGTTTTATATATTCTGAGTTTACCTTGTCTAGAAACGTATTTTGAGTTCAGTAGGGCTCCTAAACTACCTAATATTTTATTCCCTTTTGCTATTCTGGCTTCCAGTTCCCATTTCTCTTTTCGATTTTCATCGAAAACTACACCCAAGTATTCAAATTTGTCCACCCTTTTAAAACTATAGCTTTTACCACTTACAGACCTCACACTAAAGTCTTCTTTTTTCCCTTCTATTCCTCTATTATCATATATTTGGTTTTGTCTTCATTTAGTTCCAATCCGAATTTTTGTGCTTCTTCGGTGATTTTCTTCACAACTCTCAATTTTCTCGGTTTTAGCTTCTAATTTCTTTCTCGGCTAGGATCGTTAAATCGTCAGCAAACGCCAAGCACTGGTACTCATTTTTCATGATTGTTTTTCCACCTTCATGTTGCTTTTTCTGATTACAGTTTCTAACACTAAGTTGAATAGTGTAGTGGATAAAGGATCTCCTTGTCTCAAGCCTTTTGCAACCGTAAATTGATCTAATATGTGACCCTGCCACGTAATTTCACACTTAGAGTTATTTAATGTCATTTTTACTAGCCGGATCAGTTTCTTTGGTATACCCAAATGTTCCATCGCTCGATACATTTTGACTCTATCGACTCTATCATATGCTTGTCTAAAATCCACAAACAAAACATGCAGGGGAACTTTACCTTCATAACAAGTCGTTTGTATCTCCTTTAATGAGAAGATTTGGTCTACAGTATATCTATCCTTTCTAAAACCGGCCTGATACTCATGTAGGATTCTTTTCGTGTAGCAATTTAGTTTATTTCTCAATATTCTTGCCAAGATTTTGTATACCGTGTCTAGTAAGGCTATACCTCTATAGTTGTCCCACTTTAGTTTGTCTCCTTTTTAATGCAGAGGGCATATGCGGTCTTTATACCACTCCGATGGCATTATTTCCTTTTCCCATACTTGCACTAGTAGCTGATATATTTTTCTTTGTAGTTGTTCTCCACCAAACTTGATCATTTCTATGCATATGTCATTTTTACCAGGACTTCTGTTATTTTTCATTTCATGTATGGCTGCATCACATTTTTATATGTTTAATATTAAGACTTTGCTGCGCTTCTCAATGATTAAATATAGGTCTGAAAGAAAACCCAGAATACTGGTTTTAGACCAGTTTAGACTGGTTTTAATTAGATGAAATAACCCAGTTACTGTACTATCTTTGGTAATTTAAGTCATTCCCTCAGTTTTCGTATCTGTTTGTTAAAAGAACCAGGTCGTTAAGTCCAAATAGTACTCGACTCACAAAACAAACCTAATTGTGGACTTCTAACGATAGAAGAGCAAGATAAAAACCCCGTCGTAGTTGAAAAAAATACAAAAAACAAGAAAGTATGCACTGGATTTACATAAATCTATCTATTCAAATTTTTAAAGTTTATTTTTGTATTACATTGATTACTAAAACTTACCATAGGCATAACAAATCCATCGTTATAGTCGGTATGTTCACCGATCAAGTTCACTCTACCGGGAGCAAATACTGCGATATTTGCTTCTTCACCAAATTGTTCTTTGAAAATTTTTTTTGCTTCCACCACCAGCTGCTCGACGGGTACAAACTTAGTTGCCATAGCCACTACAACAAAAAAAAAATCAAGAAAACGAAACAATCAATGGCGAAAAAATAATCATGTCAGGTTATAAACTGCTAAACTGAATATTGCTCTGAAGCTATTTTCTTGTGGCATTTTAAAGTAATTAATATTTAAATGGGTAATCATTTTAAAGTAATTAATATTTAAATGGGAATAAGGTACAATTAAAGGTAGAAATACGTTTATTGACGTTTCAATTTCCACTTATCGAAAATCGTTCTCAAAAGAACGTTCTCAAAAAATTGTTCATTTTTAAGAACGATTTCCGAAGTGGAATTTTTTTTTTATTGAGTTTAATGCTTCGACAACTAATGGTCATTGGCATGGTACAGTGAATTTTTACAGTTAGGTGTGTAGTGTGTGTGTATGTGTGTAGAGTAAATGTCTTGATACTTAGCAAAGTCGACGTCATTGTCTTTGCTAAGAGACGCTAATTGTATCCGAACGTCTGCGGTCCCCCCGGTGAGTACCGATCGCACAAGGATAGAAATTATTTTCATTTATTAATTTTTTTAATAAACGAAAATTTCCACCCAGGTGAGATTCGAACTCACGACCTTTAGGTTTAAAGGTAGGCGCTCTTACCACTGAGCCACAGAGGGGGTTGAAGTGGAAATTGAAACGTCAATAAACGTACTTTAACCTTTAATTGTGGCTTATTCCCATTTAAATATTAACTGATAAACTGAATAAAAACATTAAATGACTTATCCACTGGCGACAGCATTCCCTTAATTTGCCCTAAGGGCATTTCTTCGATATTCTTCGACTGCACTAACTAACCTTGAGTTTTAACCTTGTTTAGGCTTACGCCTCTTCAAGGAACGGGGAACTCCTTTTTTTTGACGGAGTTGTGGTGGTTACGAGATAAGACGTCTACTGATCGAAACGCGGCCTAAGAAGCAGAGAACTGCTAAGGAAGAAGGGAGGGAAAAGAAGGTGGCTTATTTTGTGATCGATAAGAATCGTGAACGCACAAGAAGAAGTGGGATTGCCTAGCATGCAGTGAGGTACTTCAGGGTTACCAGCCATACAATAGGAACGGCTCTTTATCAGCGTTTTTGGTGCGCAGTTTATCTGCGATAATAGATGGGGAAAGATTCTAAAATATCAAAATACTCCTCAGGAAGTTCAGGTCCAGCGTTATGTAGAAGTTTAGCTGGAGGGAATGGAACTTTTTTTGCCTGATGCCTGGTGAGTATTTGCCCTCTATGTGAACAAGGTGTCTTTAGTGTTTGTTTTGCTCGGTTGTTCGAGCCAGCTATGGTTCTTAAGACATACTCCCTACTGAGGGTTAGGATTCTGTCCTTAATAGGTGTGATGTTAGCTATTGCATATATGTGGGCTGATGGATACAGCCAGTCTTTTCTCATGCAGAAACGTAGTATTCTACGCTCTGTGGCGGTGATGGCATTGAGTTCGTGGTTCCTCAGGGAGAGGTAAACGCATGCCTTGTATTCGATAATCGGTCTGATAAAAGTCTTGTAGGTGTGCCACAATGTGTTAGTGGACGTTCCTCCTAGTTTACCGGCCAACACTTTCAGGAGGTTGAGCCTCTTTCTCATCCTGTCAAGGGATTCTTGGACGTCAGCCTTCCAGTTGAGAGTTCTCTTAAAACGAACTCCCAAGTAGAGAACTGAGTTCCTGAGAATAAGGTCCTCTCCCAAAAGTGTCACCCGGCCCTGAAGGCCGCGTCCGTATGGGGGTCTGAATAGGATAGCTTGTGTTTTGGAGGGGTTTAAAGTAACCCTCCATTTGTTGCACCACCTCACGACTCTGTCAAGATAATCTTGCGATTTCTCGAATACAGACCGTCGCTCTCCTTCCCTGTAGGAGCCTGAGGTAAGAATGGCTGTATCATCAGCAAATATTAGGAGAGACTCTGATCCTTGCTGTGGGCGGGGGATGTCGCTATTGTATACTGTGTATAATATTGGAGCAAGTATTGAGCCTTGGGGCACTCCTGCTTGAGGAGTGAATGGAGTGGAGAGGTGCTCTCCTATTTTGATCCGAACCGTCCGATGAGAGAGATAGGAATTTATTAGTTTTATTGCAAACGTTTACTAATATTCTCCTATTTCTACCAGAAACTAGTTTTGGGCAACCCGGAGAAATGAACTAAAAATGTAGAGGTAGAGTCATATAAAACATTTTGAATTTACAATTAAAAAAATAAGGGTCATGTCCTATCTCCTATCTCCTAAGTTGGATCAAAAATCACACTTTTAAAATTTTTTATGGGAATAGGTTCAATGGTTTCAAATATTGGCATGGACAAACACCGTTTTTATATATAAAGATATCTATGAGTGTTTGCATAAGTTAATAATTAAAAATAGGATTCTTTAATTAATAACGTACACAATCACTGATATAGTTGTCAACTTAACCTGTAAAGTTTCTAGCACTGGGCTTGATAATAAAGTATTTAACGTAAATCTCGAAACAAGTATCACTTGTTTATCAGCGATAAAAAATTAATTTGGATTATGAGTACTTTAGTCCAGTCTGTGAGGCCGCTCCCGTTGGGAACATGTTTCTGATTCGGTTTCTTCGCGGATTCCGGTTCAAAAATGTCCCCTTTAAACAAATCTGAAGGGTGCCGGGCGAAATTTTTGGGCAGAAATTGTTTAAACAATTTTTTTTAAACAAATTCCAAAAATATTTTTTTTAATCTGGAAAACGTTTTTTTAGGTTTTTTGGGTCATTTTAAACAAAAAAGGTCTCTTGTAGTTTTTCTCTAAAGTTGATAGTTTTCGAGTTATAAGCGATTTAAAGTCTGAAAAACGCGAAAATACGCATTTTTGAGGCTTGAAAACACATATGTAAATTATTATTTTTGAGGTTACCAAGTGTCTAAATTGAAGTTTAAACATTCAACTTCAAGATTGTGAAGAGTAATCGGGGCTTATTTTAATTTAGACCGTTGTTTTTTAATTGTTAAATATGCGCGTACACTCGATTTTTCAGCCGCCGCGGCGCGGCGCGCTAGAGTGCGCTTCTATCGTACTTATGCATAGTTTACATATACACTTACGCAAAAAAACCCGAACAAATCCTTGAAGTTTATTAACATAGTTTTTTCCATAATTTATTTATGTAGGTATTAATTATTGTCATGGGGCTAATTAAATAAATCAATCATCGCAATGTAATAACCGTATATAGTTTTTTTTCTTCCAAATTTGAACAATATAATTATTATTTATTGAGTATATATTTATTTATATCAATTGTAAATAATATTTTTAAATTATTATTTAAATAATACAATGCAGTAAATATTAATATTAGTAAACTTAATTTTAAATTGCGCGGTGTTTAAAAACAATATACTATCGCAAAAATGCAAGTTTTTACCTGTTTAACAATCGCGCGCTCATACTTGATTTGTTATTACTTAAACGATCATTAGGAAGACTATTGTTTAATGCCCATTAAAAGGGCCCATGAAAAAAAATTGTGAATGGATTTAAAATGTCTTTTTCCGTACCTCTTCTTAAATGAAAACTTACCGAAGAAAATTTAGTTTGTATTTTTTGTAATAACATCAACAATATTAAGTTAGTGCAAAAACCTAAAGTAGATTTTTACATAACAATACAAAATGCTGCTCTTCGACGAAAAGACAGTGTGACTGAAAAATTTAATTTAATCTAGCCAATATACCTTGTACCTCTGACGCACTTTACCAACACTTGTTAAGAGCTTTCGCTAAAACATATATTTGGCGAAATGCCATATTATATTCCCGCTATCAAACTCTCGATTTTACACAATATGGATATTATATGTCTGATAGTGGTGGGTTGGGAAACCGTGCAAATGCAAAAAGACTTGCAAAACTAATGCTTGCAACTGCAAGAAAAATCATGTCAACTGTGTACCATTATGTGGATGTGATTTAGATTTTTGTGAAAACAAAGATACTTTTACTGAGTGATATTAGTGTGTTATTTAACAATCTTTTGTACAATTATTTTATGTAACTATTATTAGACTTTAGACGAAATTTATATTATAACTCAATTGATATAAATAACTATGTACTCAATAAATAATAATTATTTGTAAGTATATGTAAACTATGCATAAGTACGATAGAGGCGCACGGTAGCGCGCGGCGCTGCGGCGGCTGAAAAATCGAGTGTACGCGCATATTTAACAATTAAAAAACAACGGTCTAAATTAAAATAAGCCCCGATTACTCTTCACAATCTTGAAGTTGAATGTTTAAACTTTAATTTAGACACTTGGTAACCTCAAAAATAATAATTTACATATGTGTTTTCAAGCCTCAAAAATGCGTATTTTCGCGTTTTTCAGACTTTAAATCGCTTATAACTCGAAAACTATCAACTTTAGAGAAAAATGACAAGAGACTTTTTTTGTTTAAAATGGCCCAAAAAACCTAAAAAAACGTTTTACAGATTAAAAAAAATTATTTTTGGACTTTGTTTAAAAAAATTGTTTAAACAATTTCTGCCCAAAAATTTCGCCCGGCACCCTTCAGATTTGTTTAAAGGGGACATTTTTGAACCGGAATCCGCGAAGAAACCGAATCAGAAACATTTTCCCAACGGGAGCGGCCTCACAGCCTGGACTACTTATCTCATACTTTTGCTAACATATCGAGTTTTCAATCAGTGTGTTCCGCATGTTTAACTAATAATTAATCCTAACAAACCCTAATCCTAACAAAAAACGAACCACACAGTTTTCAATGGAACGATCAATGTCTATATTCTATATTCAAGAGATTGGATTTGAAATACAAAGATCCGAAGAAGAACCAGTCTAGAAAACGCTGTAAAAAGAGCAAACTATCACAACTGCTATAAAGTGGAATTATCAAGTTTTTTCAAACAGGTACGTTTTCAGCAAGACGTAACCACGACATGCGAAGCATACAGACCCACTGGATACAAAATGTGCAGATGAAGAGATATGGAAGCATTCAAGGGGGGTTTAGAGACTCGAG